GAAAATATAGATTTTTGATAATATTAAAGAATAAAACGCGTAAGTTATAGATTTTCTTAAAGCATCATATAAATCAATAAATTTTGCATTTAATCATCATCACAAATTAATACTTAAAACTAATATGTATCACATAAGGATTTTATAAGATTGATGAGCTAAGCAATACCTTAGCCCTAAGAGTTGGACCTAAATTGGATAGTGTGTTTCACTTCCATAGGAAGGACCTAGAACCGGGAAATTGTGCAATCGTACATCAACTCTAGAACCTTTTGCTGAGCAGGTGAGTTTTCACAACCCCCTTTTTACTATTTTCGCATTTATGGGGGAAAAACATGCTACTAATACTACGTACTGGTTGTCTTTTTATTATACGCGAATTGTTAAATTATTCTTATTGCTATTACACTTTGGTATGTATGCTTGTGTAAGTTGCCTGAGTTTTCTTTTGCTATCGCTCTTAAATCTCTGTTTTCCCTTTACACTACCTATTAATTCATTATATGAACTGTTGGTAATTATGGATAGCGCTATTTGGATTGACAACCCCACTTTTGACTGGCGAGTTAGAAGTGCATATTACCAAAATAGGTCTTACACATGTGGATTTATTTCACCGCTGAGGTACGACCCAAGAATTATACAAAAGTCTTACACATGTGGATTTATTTCACCACTGAGGTAGGACGTGAGAATAATAGTACTCATGTTGGCGATAGAACATGTAGTCGCGGGGTGCTGTCATTAGGTTTGGTAGTGGGCTCGTGGCTTTAGCATTTAAGCATACAACTTACCTTGTGCGTTACAAACTACCGGTTACTTATCCATTATGCAGATTAAAGCGTTTTGCGAGTTAAACTCTTACTTTTTATTTTAAAAACATGTGAACTCACCAACTATTTCAGTAGTTGACCTCCTTCTTCGGCATGCTTTTCAAGTGTTCATCATTAAGGTTGGCACATAGGAAGGCATCGTGTGGCTACATATCTTTATTTTATTTTTGTGTTGGCAATCATGTTATTTCCCTTTTGAAATGTTGAAACTTTGTATCGTTGTAAACTTTCGAACTATCTTCTTTATTATGGTTGATGTTGTCTTCTACCTTGTGCTGTGAAACCCTTTAGCTATTAAATCTCGTGTTTCCGCCACGGCGGGGTGTGACATCTGCACATTTCCTACCAATAAAAGAGACTTATTCATTGGAATGATTGGCTCAAATCTATATCAAAGAAATTGTGACTAGACATGGAGTTCCATTGTCCATCATATCTGATAGAGACGGTCGTTTTACTTCAAAATTCTGGGAAAGTCTGCAAAGTGCTTTGGGATCACAAATCAGACTGAATATGGCTTATCACCCACAAATAGATGGACAAAGTGAAAGAACCATCCAGCATGGGAAGAACATTTGCCGTTGATAAAATTTGCCTACAATAATAGTTATCACTCCAACATCCAAGCAGCACCTTATGAAGTCCTATATAGAAGAAAATGTCGAACGCCATTGTGTTGGAATGAGGTAGGTGAAAAACAGTTGACAGGTCCCAAGATTGTGCAAGTAACGTCTGAAAAAATAGACCAGTTTCGAGCAAAAATCAAAATTGCCCAATATCGACAAAAAAGTTATACCGACAAATGAAG